TAAAGATCCGGTTGATATGATCTTCCCAATCAATATACACATCAGGATCTGGCTTGCCACGAAATTCTGGAATTTTTTGCTTGATAGTGTTCATGTTATCATCAAATCTAGGCTGCCTTTGTCGATCATGCCTAAATTCTTCTTCATGCTCATCACCATCATCATCATTTTGTTCCCTTGGAATTTCTTCTAGCTCTCCTTGAACATCTTCTTCTCGGTCACCATCTTGTCCTTCATTACCACGTCCACCACCTTGACCACGCCCGCATTGCCACGTCCGCCATGGATGTTCCTACGTGCAACAAGGTTAGGTCCAGGATTTACCAATGGATCCCTAACTTGGGCAAGTTGGTTTATTTGACGATCAGTTTCTTCTTGTTGGCGAGTGGTCTCTTCTTGTCGTCGTTGTTGTTGTGCCATTGCCATCGTCATAAGTTGCAATTGATTGGTTAATGCTGCAATCTTATGTTTAAAATCTTGCACAGTATCATTCAGCATTCCATGTTGAGGAGGAGGTAGAGCTTTATCTCCCATGTTTCCTGAAACACAATTCAACACACACAAGAACAAGAAAAAGAATATCGAAGAACTCACTTCCTGGTTACCCCTCCCAACTATTCTATTCACTCCCCAAGATCTCTCAAGAAGGTTTAGAATTTAGTAAGGGATGGATTCACTCTATTCTTATCACTGTCTTTGTCTTTTAATCCTTTGTGCAATGAAGACTAGTGCTACAAGAATTACTTTATTGAAGCAAATAAAGAGGATCAAAAAAATAAGGTTCTGAAAATAATTGTAACAAGATCTAAGGAAGAACACGAATATAGATCGAGTAGTTACAATTATGAAAACTTAGATCTCACAAAAAGGCTAATAGAACTTGGAGCAAATTCTGAAAAAAATAAAAGCTTCGACTTAGGGTTATGGATAAAACCCTAGTTTCGGCTACTTCACAAATAAAGGGCTTATATTTGCGAAACCCTAGCCACTAAAGATCCAAGTATTTCAAAAAAGATATGTGCAAATAATAGTAATTGCACTTCAAATCAAACTCAAATACCAATATCCTTCTATGACGTCTTTCTTTTTATTTTTACTTTATTTTTTTTTTCACGGCTATATATATATATATTTGACTCAAAAAAAAAAAGAAAGTGGATTAGAGATTAAGATACACCTAGATCCGATAATTTAGGAGAAGAAACGTTTTTTTTTAACCAATAATAATGGATCTAACTTAACAACTTCAATCAAATCAAACAAGAATACAATCGAAGCGAAATAATGAGATCTATAATAAAAGACTCAAAAATTCAAAAGAACAATTAGAGATCTAACCAAAGATGAGCTTTAGTAGATCAAAACAAAAAACAAGTCTTCAAGAACCTAAGCTCTGAGGCCAATTGATATGAAGTATCAATTTGCACCTGACTCTACTTGCAAGTTTTCAAAAACCAAGGCTCTGAGGCCAATTGATATGAATCTTGAGGCAAAGGTGGCAGATTTACCTCGACGCGGAAGCTATAACTTTCCCAGGACTTGAAAAATTGCAAATCCAATATTATAGACTCCAATACTCACGAAAAATAAAAGAAACGAAGAGATGCGAACCACAAAAATTTGCACCAAAAAGGGATGGAAAATTTTAGAAGATGTAGAAAGTGTTTAAGGTTAGCAACCCAATCGGTCACCTCTCTAACAACCCTATCCCTTCGATTTATGGATAGAACGGCTAGCGAAAAGGCCCCAATGAACAACTAACAAATCTCCACAAGTAGAAAAACACCTATTCTAGTCGCATGCATCAACAAAGCACAAGCTTGTGTGCAATGCACTAATCTTCGAAAAGAGTAGAAAAAGAACAAAGAGTTTCCTCTCGTCTCATATTGAAATAATTCATCCAAGGTACAAATAAAAGGTTGGCCAAGCACCCCTATTTATAGTAGAGGGGGCCGAAATTCTCCTATGAAGTAGGAGATGAGTTTGATCTCTAACTCTATTCCTACTTTAAAGAACTAGAAATCAACTTAACCTCTAATTGACAACTTGTGTCTTATCTATTAAGGCAATGTATCTAGACACCTTTATAGACTTAAGACACACTAGCCTATTGAAAATAAAACTCCAAATACAAAGAGATATTCTCTCAAAAGAATCTTATCCTTATCTTGAAAAGAATCTTCCTGAGTTGTCAACTCTATCAATATCTTCTTTGTAGAGTAATCATAGCCATCCAATCTTGATCTAATCTCTATCCAACGGTTGAGAGTAGACACCACGGAATAGACTTCTTATTTTGAATAAACTCTAAATTAGATAAAAGTGAATCATATCAAATCTTATCCTTCCATGTGATAAGATTTAAATGATCTTATCTCTAAAAGATAAGGAATCTTTCAAATCTTATCCTTCCACAAGTGTGATAAGATTTAAATGATTTTATCCCTAAAAGATAGAGATTCCAACTCCTAAAAATTAGGAGATAGGGCTGTCCTCCCTTGCTTGGTTTGTGGGCCGAAATTTCCTTCCTCAAATGGGCCTTGTAACACATTAATAATCTTAGACTTGTAACTTCCAGACTTGACATTCTCTTGGCCTAAACCATTGGATATAAGATTATTAAGTGCACTCTTCACCCTTTTACTTCTAACTTGAGATATTGGGCCTCCAATGTTAGATAATGGATCTTGAGTCACTCCTTAAGCTTGGACAGTACTTGGAACCCGAACACCTTGATCATCTTGGACTTGATTACCATGGATGTTCACATCAACTGCACTAAAGGTATGCTTCTTATACCATTTACTTTTTTATGCTATTGTGCGAACATGATTTTGATAAATTTATTGATTATTGACCAGGGTGTAAAAGTCAAGACTATTGTTATACAGAGTAAATAGCAGGCACCACTTAAATATGTACCGTGAAGTTGTACATTGTCATTTCAATTTATGTTTCCATTCCATCCTCGATTCTAATTGACGGGTTTCATTTGTGTTTCCATCAGAACTTAGTTATGATAGCACAGTTTCAATAGCAATGCGTGACTAATTAGCTCTTTTTCCTTCTTGAAAAGACGAGCCCTGGTTCTAATGAGTGTGATAAAGAAGGGTTGGAGAAGAAAAAGAAGCTACGGTTGGCGATGATAGACCCAATTAGTTTTAGAATATCATATAGACTCAAAATTGTATAATAGGCCTTGTATATTTGTGAATTTTTCATTATTTGATCAAACATGTTGAACTTTTAATCATTCATAACTCAATACCTCTAATCTATTTTATAAATTCTTGAATTGAATGCATCGCGACTTATGATAGAACTAGTAGATTATAAAACACGTCAGAAGGTTTTTATCATTTGTTAACCCATTAATCAATCACAGTACTTTAATAGCCTTTTCCTTTTACTAATTACAGTACTTTAATAGACTCTTCCATATTTATTATAGAAGACTTCAAATACTTTGTTATATTATTATTTCTCTATCTGTCTCAAAATAATTGTTCGAATAAATATTATTTGCAAGATCGTCTTAAAAAAAAAAAAATTCCCAAACCTTTTTATGTTATTGATGCAAAAGCTATTTGCATTTTTCTCAATTATATGCAAATTGTTGACTGATATGATAGCATGTATTACATTTCATTTAATTCGAAAAGATTATTACTTTGAATGTTTATAAATGTAAGTTAAATTATTTAAAAAAATATTCTATAACTTTATTACTATAAATCGCCCGTGCGCACCCGCAGGCAAGAAAAACCTAGTGATACAATAAAAGAAAAGGTCTACAGGATTATATGCTCAATTTGGACCCCTTTTATTTTACCATATTGAGTAAATAAAACTAATACTACAAAGTGGGGGGGGGGGTGTTAGGGTAGAAATGGATAAAACAAATAGCTGACAAATTTTCCCAGAAGGGACTTATCGGAGATCATTGTCTTTGACGGCCTCCAAAGTGTCAGACTTTTTCCCAGGGCGGCGGCGGCAGCCCTCTTTTTGTTCTGGCTCTGAAGAAGCGTTTTTAAGTAGAAATTCAACAACTACAATAGAATTGTGTAAAGGTATATTATCTATTCCACATCGTCATTTGAAGATAATTGACTCAGTATATAAGTGACAAATGTTATCTCACTTATTGTTAGTTGGTTTTCAGATTGAAGCCCAAAATACTTATATACTTTGACATAGTATCAGAGAGTTCTGGACTTGTGGTGGAGTTCTGGGCTAAAGGTGGCCTATGGTGATTTTACATTTTTCCCATTAGAGCATTACTCGTGGGTTTGTTCTGAACTGATCTAGCGTTATAACTGATTTTTTCCCACTAGAGCGTTGACTCGTGGGCTTGTTTTAAACTGATCCAGTGGTATAAATGGTTTTTTTTCTCCTACTAAAACATTGACTCATGGACTTGTTTCTATACTTGTTCTGATTCAAGTCCATAAAGCAAAAAGTTCAAAAACCCATTAAATTTGAGGGAGTAGTATAAATGGTTTATTTCTCCTACTAAAGTGTTAACTCATGGGCTTGTTCTATTCTTGTTCTAATTCAAGTCCATAGGGCAAAAAGTTCAAAAATTGATTGGACTTGAGCGAGTGTGTAAAGGTGTATTATCTGTCCCACATAGCCACCAAAAAGAGAAATGACTTAGTATATAAGTGCTAAAGGTCACCCACTCATATTGCCAATTACTTTTGAGATGGGATCCCAAAATGTTTATATACTTAAACAAATTGCTCCAATGAGAACCGGAGTTAAAAATCCATGCCCAAATTTCGTAGCATCCACCCTAACTCCTTTTCCCTTCTACCTCCTTTTGTATTGCAATCATTAATGATTTTTCTTTATTTCCCCCCTTTTCCCCCTTCTTCGTACGTTAGAGAATTTGTGTGTTGGGATGGATTTGATTGATTGCGTCTGCTAAGTTTAGAAAAATGGACTCTGTAAAGTGAGAGAAGTATTTCCCATGAATTTTTTTGGAATTTATGGCGGCTATGTGTGGATGGCCTGAAATTTCACATACTTGGTACTTTTCTCAAAATGCAGAATGTGTCGTATTATCATTCATGTGTATGGTTCAATTTGTTTCAAATATTTTCACTCTTACAAAGATTTGCAGATTATATATTAAACTAACTTGGACATTATATTCAGACTTAAAGCATGCATCATGGGTTCTTATATCGTATCTCTGTCATTTGTTTAGTTCACTTTGATTTTACCATGTCTGCTTCTAATTACAAATATATCATCTGATGATGAGATCCAGCTCACCCTTACTGACAACGATATGTTGAGATTCCATTTCTGATTTGTAGATTTGTTTTTACAATAGTGTGGTAACCCTTACCACACGACAATAACAATTATACTTGTTCTCATGATTTTCAGGTAATCCTGTGACCAAGGCAAATGAAGAAAAGCCTGCTGCTGCCAAGAAGGCTAATGCTGAGGACACTGATGCTGGTAAGCAGAAAGTGAAGATTGCGGAACCAACCCCTAAAGCTGACAAAGAAGAGGAGTCTAGTGAGAAAGACGATTCAATGTCTGAAGGTGAGGGCGAGGTATAACTCTATCGGCTGACATTTATCTGAGTTTTTCTAATGTTGGTTTTATTTTTAATATAATGCTAGATTAGTAAAAGATCTATGTGTAATTGGGTTTGTCAATCAGTTGGATTTTTCTTTTGCTAAGCATAGAAAATCATTTATTTTTTATTGAGTTATCAATTGTCACTTGGCTAAACTTAATGTATGCAAGTGATGCCATTTAGTGTATGGTTGGGAAATGTTTGTCAAAATATAGATGGTATACATATAACACCAAATCAGTTCTTACTCTTGCACGCATAGAAACTGAGTCATGGTTTTGGTTATAGTTTGATGATTTTTAGATAAACAAAGACTAATCTTTTATACTTTTTCTCTGTTTGTAGTCATTGTTGTTCGGGTTGCTTATAGTTTGATCATATAACACCTGAATCATTTCTTAGTTACAGAGAAATAGCTCTATTTACCTTCTATAAGTTCTGGTTTTCAATAAATTTTAAGTACTCTTTCATAAGTTTTTGTGATGCATGCAGTTGGATCATTGTAGCTTTGTTTTTATTATTCTTCCATTTATATTCTATAGGATGGGGAATTTAATTTAATTATCTTTTTGTATCTAGTTTGCAAATCTTGTTATCATTGGAGATGTTGCTTACCTGGTTACTTCCACATTGCTTTCCACATTCAGGAATCAGATGGCTGTAACTCTGCAGATGATAAATCAGATGACAGTGAAGAAGTAGAGACACCAGAGAAGGTGCTGCCTACCATTACCAGATTTTGATGTTGATGATGTCTCTCGAAGGGTTGAAAAGAATAAAAAATGATCCGAATTCACATAATTGTCATTCTGAGGGAAGTTCGATGGGGAATGATGACTGTACTTTTAATTAATGTTTTCAAACTCTTATATTAGGTTGCTTCTACTGAACATGTTTAGTATGGTTGGTTTAGAATCAACCTGACTAGTGACAGTGACTGGATATGAACTTATTTACTTCGGTTGTGGTTGAATGTTTAACTTTTGAATCTATTATAGAATGATGAAATTGAATATTAATATATAATTTAATTAGAATTTCGAATTATGTGTACTTTTAATAACTTTATTATTTTTGTGCTGGACATGGATACTAAAATTAAATAAAAAATTGCAATTTTCAATATATTCCGCGGCTAAAAACATTTGATGAAATAAACAAAGTATATTTTCCCCCGGAGAGAGTCATTGATAAAAGTATTTACACAAAAAATTAAAAAATTTTCCCCACAGCTAGTCATATTTCCCCCGATATATCCACAGATATTCATGGAGAATTCTTCCCAATTATAGTATACACGAAAATTATTGTGTTAAAATTACTCACGATACTCAGTTTCCGTGGGAAAATTTACCCGGTGAGTGTTGAATATTCGAGGGTGATTCTCCCACGGTCCATTTTTCGTGGGAGAGTTTGTGGAAGAATCATTTACCCATGACTTCTTAGACACGACTCTCTGTCATGGATAATGCAGTGTCTTTTCGTAGTGAATAAGGACTTTTCTCAATGAAAGTTTCATCATCAAGAATATGCCCATTATACTCCAACTTATTCTTAATCTCAATCAATCATGAATACTATGCATTACTTTTTGTCTTCTTGATCTTAATTACAGAGCTCAAATTTCCTTTTCAATACAAGCAAATTACTCTTCCGAACCTTTTTCAACACCATAATAAGATTTGGCCAAAGTATTCGATGCCTCCTTTCCTGTTTTAGCCATATAAATTATTTCGAACGTCATATCAATAGCCGAATGATTTTGAGACAACTCCAACCTATCTCTTCTCTTTAATGTCTCATCTGTGTTTGTAGCCAATTCGTTTTTAATATGCTTCAATAACCAAACGCATTAAGATTCTTTTCCATCTGAATCCTCCAAATATTATAATTATATCTTCCTATGAATTTGAGAACTGAACATGTAATATTTTGATCTGTCATGATTGCTGAATATTAACCTAGCTCTGATACCAGATGTTAAGGAAACCCAAAAAAAAAAAAAAAAATCAGCCCTAACCCCAAACACAGTCCTAATAGGAAATAATTAACTTAGTCTAATTTCCAACAGCAACTACTTTGATTTACAAAATAAAAACCTTTTACCATTGATTGTTGTTGATAGAACCACTTGAATGTAGCCTGGCATGTTTCATGCAGAACACCTAGCTTGATTGTAGCTTTATTATAATACTTATTAGAAATGTCTTCTAAATCCTTTTGCTGTTCAGGAATTCGAATTCAAGTTTAAGGTTTCACTCCATCTTTGCTCGTAAAAAAGGAAAAAAGAAAACATTAATTAACTATAGGGCGTCTTTAGGGTACTGCTTACTATACCGAATATTAAAAAAAAAAAAACAGAAAAACTTTTCGATATAATTCGGGAAGACCAAACGAAATCGCATACAACATTAATATCAAACACGATATACATATGATACATTATTAAGGAAAAAAAAAAAAAAAACACCAAAGCTTATATACGAACAAACCATGAGGAGATATTTTTCTTCTGGTCTCCCCGAGGATGGCAATCAGCAATCATTAAAACCAGAAGGCCGGCGGCAAATGAAAACGTTTCTCAAAGAACCGAAATAGTACGACCAAAAACCAGCATTTTCAGTCCAAGAGTTGGGAGATCCAACCGAAATCAGGGACCGGAGTGGACGAATGATGAAACGAATTTTGGGGGATGAGTTTAGCATACATCCTGGCCCGGAGGTCCCTCCCGGACTCCACCCTCTCCATCACGGGCTCCTCCTCTACGTCGTAATATGCCTTGTCCCAAAGATCAAAAGCACAAGATCCAGACCCAAATGGTGTCTGGGCCGACGGAGTGGCAGCAGATTGACGGGAAGCCATTTGTGGCCCTCGCGGGGAGCCCATGCATGATGAAGATCTTCTCAAGTTCTCGATCCACAGATTTTGCATGGACAGGGTGATTCCATTCAAACTATTTGGCAACACAGGAGGGGAAGACGTCGTGGACATCTGCGACTGAAGAAGCGAGGTAGGAGACAAACGAGGCCTCACCACTTTCACCTTAACATCATCCAAGTCGTCTCCACTAAAGGAGTTCTTCCACGGCAGAGCGGGTGATCTGACACAGGATTCTCCCGTGTCAAGAATCACCCTAAACTGGTCCGCGGTGTGAGCGAAGAAACATACACGCCGGGTGCACGTGGTCCCGTCCCTACAAGGGCGCGTGCGGTAGCGCTCCGGGTGGAGCCACGTCTCGAACACGCCATGCGCGAACTCGCACGAGTTCCCTTCCGGGCACCTTCCTGCTTTCCTGATCTCACTACAAGGTGTGGCGGAGTAGCGGTACTTCAGTGGGTCCCTCCGGCGAGCCTTCTCCCCTTTGTGAGCGTACGGACACTCGGTCCAGTCATGTACCTTGCAGCTTAAGCATTTCTTGACTTTGAACTCGAACATGCGGAACTGATCGCACGCGAACACTTCAGCAGAAATGTCAAAGTCGTCTCCGCTTGAAACGACGTCGTCAGATTCGGAATCCGAATGCAACGGTACGTAGTCCTGCTGGAATGAAGCGACGTTGTTGTCGGAAAAAAAATCGAAAGTCCCAGCATTTCCGCCGTCAGGGTACACGACGGATGATGAGGGCGTATATGCCGTTGGATCATCATCAAAGAAATCCAATGGAGAAACTTGGACGGTGAGATATGAACGGCGCGAATCTCCGAACCTCATTGTGTTTTGAAGAATATTTCTGAGAAGAGGTCTGTTTTCTTTTCTTTTCTTTCTTTCTTTTTTTTTTTTTGGCTCAAAGGTTTATCGTTTCTAGTACGTGGGTTTTTGGGAATTGGGAGGCATCAGCCTTCGTTTATAAACATTTTTTTGACCGCGGTCAGACTTATACTTAACTATGGTCGAGTAAAACAGTATATGGGCTTCAACTTACTTCATTGTGTCTGCCTGTCCGATAAAGGTAAGCAGAAAAACCTTTTCTTTTTTTTTTGTGGGGGGGGTGGGGAACTGAGCTTAGTTAATTTGAAAGCTTAAAACCAACTTGACAAAAACATACTCCCTCCTTATACAATATTTTGATTTGTTCTAGGTTTTACTTAGTATGTATTTTTAATTAAAAAAAATATTTAAAATATTTAATAACACTTAACATAACACAATGAATGTGAAAATAAATTTTTAAAATTTTTTTATTAATTAAAAAAAGTACGAAGTGAAATATATGATACTTATATTAAGTATCGGAAGAGTAGTTTGGAAACGGAATGAAAGGACCCACCAAGAATCTCACCCTTGAGTGACATGTTTAGAAAACGTCTGAATTCATGAATCATGATAAAGGTGTCCACTTTTGTTGTTTGGGGGGATGGCGAATTTTATTCCAGAGAATTATATGGTATCATTAGCAGATATCCACTATCAAGGATCAAGCGTTAACATGGTATGATCTAATAGGATTATTATTTATCGTTTCTTGAAAATAAAAAATATTGCATAAATATTTTGAAACCAAGAAATACATTTTCAATTAGTCCAAGGTGGAAGTTGTGGCTGAATATAGCTTCAATCAATGTACGTCGTCGTAAAATTGTCATCCCTAATTGCGACCAAGAAACATTAATCAGCTAGCTGGACTTTAGTGCAACTTTGATGGTTCAAGTTCATAATGTTTTTGTCGATCTCTATCGTTTTTGTGCAACTTTATATTTTTGGCCTTTTACTAAATTTTCATAAATTTCTAAAATTCTCGAGTCGAGAGGTAATTAAGCACCTACACAATCTAAAGTCACGTGATCATTCCCAAATTGAGGATATCATTACCAAAACTCGTGAGAAAGGAATTCAGCGTGCCTCCCAAGTCACGTGATGCAGTCAAATGGATTGGGGCGGCCCGTGGTTTTGAGCAGCGTGATAAGTCGTTTGGCTTTTAAAAGATTTGGATTTGATTTCTTCATCACTTTGACAAGTAGGTCTGTTGCTTTAAGATCCTGTCTTTATTTTTTGTGGTTCTAAAAAAAAGAAAACTTTCTTCTTTTTTTCGTTCATTTTTCCCTCCATACGACATCTAGCAAATTGTATTCACTCAGACGTTGAGTTGTAAGTATCTTTAAGTAGAACAGTTAGCCTAAAGATTTATATAACTAAATACTCCATCCGTCCCATAATTATTGTCCAGTTTAATTAAAATGGAAAAATTTTATTTTCAGTCAAATTTAACTATATTTTGGCTTAAACTATCAGATATACCCCTGTCTGTGTAATTGTTTAACCGGTTACTCTTTCTCAGACTAGCACCGACGAAATGTAAAAATCACCCCAATTTAAATATTCAACCAAAGCTCAAGAATTCATCTTTACTGTCGAACAGTGAATCAATTTTTCGGATGACGAATTTCGGAATCTTCCTTCTCTAAGGTCCAATTTGATGTTTACGAACATAATTCTTCTACTCTAAAAAAATTTAAGACGCACATCTTCTTTAGTTTTAACTCAATATTTTTGTTTATCAACAAAAATTAAAACTCTTACGCTGCATGGTAGTTCTTATACTCATTAACGCATTAATCAGTGAAAATCGACAATAAGTAAAAGACATTGAAGATTAAAGGGTGAAATGACAAAGCCATCAACGCGCGATCGAGATAAAAAAAGGATAAGTTTGACTTTTCTCAATATCTTATGCTCTCTTGATCCCAAAATTATTGTCTAATTTAGATTTTTAATTTTAGTTCAATTTAAACTAAAACTAAATATTCAAACTTGACCATAATTTCGAGACAGAGAAAGTATCACTTTATTCACTTTACTAAAACGTCAAGAGTTTCGATTCTTCCTGAGGCTACAAACATAAATTCTTCTCTTTATTCTTACTTCAACATAGACTTGCAAACATATAAATAAACACCAAGAAATGAAAACTAAATTTTTTAAAAAGACAAAACGCATTTTTGGTCCTTGAACTATGGGGGTTTACAACTTTTGGTCACCATTAATTTTTTACTGATAAAATTCGTTACCACATTTTCGTTTATTCAATAGTTTTAGTCAATTTAACGGTCAACGTAATAGTCAACTCTTTTTTTCATTAAGTTTTTAGGTTTTTATGAATTTTTTACTAAACTGAAACCTGCAATATATTTTCAAATAACAAAATCAGTCTCCAAATATTTTTTTTCAACTGTTTTAGTCACTTTAACAAAATTTTTAAAAATTTAATGGTCCAATTCAATTTTCCTTTAAGTTTTTATTTTTTATTGATTACTTAATAGATTATGGGTCCCACAAGTCTTTGATCAAATCTTTTTTATAAAAAATAAAAGTATTTCTGACCAACTTCTTGAACTCCAATATACTGCTCCCCAACGTCTCACCATCACCTCCACGCCGGCAAAGTAACCCAGAAAAAAAGTCTTATTATTGATCATTTTCGTTGCCTGTTTTTTTTAAGAATTTATTTCTTGGGGAGAAAAATATTTGGTATTTAGGAAGTTGGTCGGAAATATTTTCATTATTCGTTTAATTAATTTTTTTTAAAAAAATACATTCTAATCAAGGACTTATACGAACCACAATCCATTAAGTAATCAATAAAAAATAAAGATTTAATGAAAAATTGAATTGGGCTATTAAATGTTTGAGAATTCTGTTAAAGTGACTAAAATTGTTAAAAAAAAGGTATTTGGGTATTTGTTGTTTGAAAATATATTGCGGGTCTCAATTCAGTAAATATTAATAAAAAATAAAAAAAATAAATAGAGAAAAGAGTTGACCGTTAATTGAACATTAAATTGATTAAAAATGTTGAATAAACGAAAAGGTGGTGACTAATTTTGTCAGTAAAAAATCAATGGTGACCAAAAGTTGTAAGTCCCCCATAGTTCAGCGACCAAAAGTGCATTTTGTCCTTTTTTAAACCAGTCACTGACTCAACCTAATTACGACATGACATACTTTAATTTGATGACTAGTAAAATATAATGTCGAAAGTAAATAATTAGATAAGAAAAATATCACTTTTAATTGTTAAATGACAGTAAAATATTTAAAACATGATATAATCCTAAGTTTACATTATTAATACGGCTCGCATTACATTGAAGGGAATATTAGCTGTACAATCGCACTGCATTTCTCGAGAGTTCAAGATTGTTAATACTTCAAAAATTCAAATCCCAAAAGATTTATCAATTTTATTAGTATGTTAATTGATAACAAAAATTTTTAAAATATATTTTCACATTCAAATTGTATTCTCTCAATTATTATAAAATATGTTTAAAATATCATTTCCGATTGGAAGAACAAACTAAATAAAACTTAGTACAAATCAAAATATTCTTCGTGTAACCTTTATTAGTTTTTACTTACGTACTTATCCATAAATAATAATAATAATTGTCGCTATACAATGTATCCTCTCTCTCTTCTCTACCTTGAATATTTAGAGGGCAGGAAGTAATGAACTAATCCTACTCCTGAACATTATACTCTTCTTCTCACAAAGAAAAAAGTAAATAAATAAATAAAAGAAAAAGGAAACATAAAAAATCCCTGTCCGTTGTGTGGTAACATTTCAAAAAGACTCTTTTTATTTTGACGGACAAAAAGAAGACAGTTACACGCTAAAAGTATGAACTAGCCGTAAAAAACGTCGATTTTAATTATTACGAAAATTCATTGAGAAAACACATTTTTGCAGACATAGTCCACTTCATTAATATTGCAATATCCAAGACCCGGAGGCAAGAGTCATACAATTCCGAAACAGTAAATAAGGGAGTGTACATATGATTTTGATTTTTAATTTTAATTTTTTTTACTGTAAAAGACGGGTGAAGGTAAGTTTGCTTTTTAATTTTAATTTTTTTTACTGTAGCAAAAAAAAAGAGAGAAATTGACAGGCAAATGGGACCCACGAAGGTGGCAAGTGAAAAATTTTTTTTAAAATTTGAAATTTGAAATCATTTTAATTTTTTATTTTTATTTTTAAATTATTTAATTTTTTACTATAAAATAATATTTTTTAATATTTTATTCTATTTTATTATAAAAACATTTGTTATTTTGATCTTATATGTGCCATTCCAAAAATATCCCTGACTTGGTAGGGTCAACGGTCATCAAGACGGAAATGGTAACGGAACAGTGAAAAGAGACAAAAAAAAGTTTCAAAATGAAATGTAAAGGCTCAATCCATATACATGTTGATATAGGGGACTTAAATTCGGACAAATATAGTGAACCATTTATACAGTTTAGTCCATATGATTAACTCCAAATTAAAATAAACAATCGCTCATGTAAATGAATAGGAACATTTCAAAGTCAATACATAAGATAAAGGGCAAACAACATTTTACCCCTAAGATTTTGGCCTGTCTATCCTAAACTTTTTGAGTTTTTGTAATACTATCATATCCCTTTAGCTCATAATCAACCTATCAAATCTCCCCTTTACATTCTAAAATCATTGTCAATTTTGTGTACACAGTCAAAAATACCTTTCAATTCGTATTTTATAAAGTATACAATGTATATGTTTTTGAAAGATATTCCCTCTATTCTTAAATATATGTCGTTTAAAGTCTATAAGTTTTTGAAATATATGTCATTTTATAAAATTGAGGCAACTTTTGCCCTATTTTTCTAATATTATCCTTATATTAGAAATGAAATGATATTTAAAATGAGATTTTATTGGTTGGTGATGAGTTGTATGGATAATAAATAATGGTAATTTTATATTTTAAACACATTATTTAATGTTTCATAAGTATGGATGAAATTACTAGGAAGACATATTTTGAGATGGATGGAGCAAATCATTGAAGGCCTGTACAGAGCG